CCCGTGTCCCCTGCATCGGCAGGCGGACTCTCAACCACTGCGCCACCAGGGAAGCCCAGTTTTCACTTTTAATGTTTCACATTTGTGTTAAAAAAAATCATACTATTGGGTAGAATTTGAAAAAGGTGTGATTTTAAGAATTCAAAACAGACAGCGAAAAGAATGTAGGAATTAATAAAGTGTTTGCGTCCACTGAAACCTCAGAGTGATTGAGATTTTCCGAGGATACAAGGGTCCAAGTCTTAGTATGTTCCTTCGCAAATGAGGTGGGCAGTGATTCAGAGCACCTACTGCCCTCCGTAAAAACACACGAGTGTCACCCTGCGGTAGCCGCAGAATGAAACTCTGGAGCATGTAATGGCAAAGGATTCTTCAGTCTACACACAGTGAGGCTGCTGAAGCTTGTCCTCCGTAATTCCATACATGAAAACCTTTCTTATCTCCTTCTGCATTCTAAACGCTGTCATAGATTAAAACTTTCAAGGCTAACTTTTTTTTTTTTTTTTTGCGGTACGTGGGCCTCTCACTGCCGTGGCCTCTCCCGCTGCGGAGCACAGGCTCCGGACGCGCAGGCCCAGCGGCCATGGCTCACGGGCCTAACCGCTCTGCGGCATGTGGGATCCTCCCTGACCGGGACACGAACCCGTGTTCCCTGCATCGGCAGGCGGACTCTCAACCACTGCACCACCAGGGAAGCCCTCAAGACTAACTTCTAACCACTTAATTATGAAGCAAAATGATTTCATCTGCATCCTCCCCCAACCCTGGGGACAGTTTCCTCCTTTTATAATTTGCATTCTCTTTTATGAATGAAATAAGAAAGAACTGATCATAGAGACGGTTTGTTGTTTAAAGCATCAAGAAAAGTGTCCCAACAGGCCAAATCTAAAAAGACCTCTTATAGCACCAGAAGGCTGCAGAGAACCGAGCAAGGTCACTTCGAACTTCCCAGCTGCCAGCAGTAACAAATAGGGGAAAATGGGCAGGGGTGGGAGTGTTTCCTATTTTATCACCACCATCAGCAGGTTATAATTTATTTTGGAAACTGGATTGATACAGGAAACCCAGGAAGAAAATGATCACACCTCTAGAAATGGTGGGAAAATTGAACTAATTTTCTTATTTTGGGTTCTTTTCAGTATGAAATTAAAGCTATTAAAATTATTTATTTATTTACTCAGGTATTAGCTCTTAGGTGTTCTCTTCAGTTCTTCATATAAGCAAAAATATAAATCTGTAATAATGAAAATTCTTGCAGGGCAAAGTCATTAAAAAAATCCTACTCCAAATCCAACGTTTTGCTCCTTTCCCATTATACTATGCAATGTGGCTTTAACTGGTCTTCGGTAATAATGCAAAATTAATGACAAATGTTATTAGCACTCTGAAAGGCATATTTTGTCTTTTTAAAAATGAACGGTTTTCATATAAAATTTGTTCCATCTTTTGTACACTTTCATCAGCGGCTTTCAAACTTTTTTCCCCATTACTCACTTTAAGAAATAAATTTTACATAATACTTACACATACACACCCCAGAATACCCTTACAACATGTAGTATATACTGGTATTTTCTGTTTAATCCTATTCTAGTCCATTCCATTAGAAAAATTGCTGGTAAAGACACTCAATTTCTTCACTAATGGATCACAAACTGCAGTTTGAAAAACACTTTAGACCATACATCACTTCCTGATTTTGTCAAATAATCAAAAACACTGAAATTCAGAATCATAGATTACCAGGTAATTCCGACCAGATAACACCCCCTGTTCTGTTTTCACTCCATGGGGCTTCTTTGGAGGTCTGGATTGAAGGTGGGTTCAACATTGCAGAGTGGATTTGTGGTCATTTCTATCAGTTGTCCAGAGGTTCTACCCACCTGGTACCATCCTGGCTTGAGGGTTTTTTTGAGATTGTCCACATGGGGGAGGAATTTGGGCTGAAACCCAAGTATGAGATAACTTGTTATGGGTGCAGGAGAGTACATGTATGTATACTGACATTTTCTGCTATACCCAGAACCAAAGTTCAAGACCAGAACTCTTCCTCAGGGCCCCCATGGGGGACAGGTCTCAGCCTCACGCATGCTGTGTATGTGTGTGTGTGTTATGTCTCCCTACCCTGGGGTGATCCTGGGCTTCATCTCCTGTCTTCTGGACCCCCTGAGGCTGTGAAAACTGACGCTGTCCTTAACCTCAAGGTTCCAACTTTCATTTAATTTTTTAGACGCTGGGTATATCTTACCCTCTCATCAGTTCATTTAAAAAACCGTTTTTAGTCCAACATTTGGAACAGTTTCTAGCTGGATGGTACATCTTTTTTTTTTTTTTGCTTGTGTTACGCGGGCCTCTCACTGTTGTGGCCTCTCCCGTTGCAGAGCACAGGCTCCGGACGCGCAGGCTCAGCGGCCATGGCTCACGCGCGGCATGTGGGATCTTCCTGGACCGGGGCACGAAACCGTGTCCCCTGCATCGGCAGGCGGACTCTCAACCACTGCGCCACCAGGGAAGCCCTGGATGGTACATCTTGTACCGTAAGTCTGTGCAGTTACAGACCAACAATTCTCTCTCAAGTGATGTGAAATAAAACATGTAGAAACATCACTGGGTGTAATTCAGATTTTATTGCTTATTATGTCATTCCATACAACTTTAGGTACACAGACGTTGAGAAAATATACTGAGAGTATTAAACAGATGATGGCAATATTGATGAGAATGTTCAAGTGTTTTACATAAGGTAGTAAGAGGCACCGCTGCCACCATCACCACCCCCCACCCCCCGAAATTTGTACATTTCATATAAAAAGAGTAAAAATAGTTCATTGGCATTTAACTAGCATTATTCTTTGTAATCTATGAACCACGATATGCCTGAATAATTTCAGAATCTTCAGAGCAAAACAAAGCATTTTCTTCCACTAGCAGACAGAGCAGTTTCAGTTTCTTTAAAAAACAAGCAAACAAATCAGCACAACAAGAACTGTACACACAACCCCAAAACAAAAAAGTTGGCATATTCCAGTGGTCCTGAATTTTGACGTTTCTATCATATTAATTCAAGAAATAAAATGTGATTCAGCATCTAAAAATGAGACAAGCTTCTTCACCATAGTTACACTTACTTTATAATTGAAACGATTTAACTGAAGCCAATGTTAACCCAGCAAAAACCATGGATATAACTCAAACTGCTCTTTTGATAAAGAAACTTCTTTAAAAGTTAACTATTCTTTAAAAACTCAGACCCGAGCTGCACAGGTGTAACTGAGGAACCAACAACTGCCTCTTCCAAAAACCACAGCGGTAGTTCTAAGTGCTTTTCAAGCTGGGGAGTATATAAAGAATCACTGTAAATCGCACATACACATCAGTAACGTCCTGCTAAAACAGCATTTGAAAGACTTCTATGTCTATTTTTACAAAGATGAGTGGGCTCAGACATACATTTGGATACTTGAAAAGAAACAATGCTTGAAATGTGGTTTTATGTGAAACCACTTAGAAGAACTCAGTTATCAAACAACTAAAAATACACAACAGATAAATAGAAATTTATGAAAACCATTGTCTCTAACAATATAAAAATTAAATATTAAGGCATCTTTTACTCCCATTTTGGTATATGCAGCAAAGAGAACGGTTTTAAATAGGAACCAGCACTTCTAGTCAAATGCTTTCTAATGTATTTGGCAGATTTGGTTTTGGTTTTTTTTTTCTTTCTCCTATTCCACATACCACTGAAAGCTCTCATGATCAAACATCACAACCCAAACCAGGAGGAAAGTATAAACAGATATTCATTTATTAAAAAGCAGTTCACCCTTGAAAAATAAAAAGGAACTACAAAGAATATTATGTATAAAGTTCAAATACTAGTATTTAAATTTCTCTGAAGCAATTTACGCTTCAGTAATTAAGAGAAAGAAGGGATGAAACGTAAAGACGAGAAGCCTATTAATATGGATCACGCTGTGAACTCACTGTTCACTCAGTCTTCTGCTCCATTGGGATGAGAATTTGAAAAGCGCTTCATACTCCTTAAAAAAAAAATCACATCCACCAGAATAAGATCACATAAATTAACACTGGTGATTTATAATTCCCCATATTTGTCCATTTACAAAGGCCAATTGGCTTCATAAAGTATACTAAACAGTAACATTTTCACCTTTTTTTAAGGCAAGTTTGTGAAAGTAATTTAATACAACCAGATCTCTTCATGAACTTTCAGCTTAAAACATTTTTTTACATAAGAAACATACAAAAAAATTGTTTTATAGAAAGCCACCTCAATACCAGAAAAGAGTAATGAAAGATTTTGAACCCAGTTTACTTTTTAAAGGATGCTGTTCCTCCCTCGTCTCAAATTCCAAGTGCTATTCATCATCTTTAGAGCCAGTTTTGCTTAACTATAAAAAAAGATGAAAGAAATATTCAACAAATTTAAGCTATCAAATTATTTGAGTTCACTATTTCCACATCATATCAAGTCAACATTTACAGTTAATAGAACAACAGGCAACAAGGTTCAAGTAACTTGCACCATCTACAGCTTTCACCATATGGAAATACTTTTCAACTTTAGCCTCAGCTACTTTAAACAGGATTCTTTGAAAACATAACCTCAACAGAACAAGAGGGGTAAAAAAATCCCTTGAACCTTTCCAAGAAATAAATTGGAACCAAGAGTATACAAAAGGTACCATTTATAAAATGAATGATATTCTTCTACTTTTGTTTTTTTACAAACAATAAATTCTAAAATTTTAACAATGTATAAAACACTTAAGATTTATCATCTTAACTACATAATCCTTACAGTTTTGAAAACGTGATACAAGTCTCAAACTGAACTTCTCAAACATTCTGGCTCCAGGACCTCTTCCCACTCTTAAAAATTGAGGATCCTAAAGAGGTTTTTTGTTTTTTAAAATGTACATTATACCTACCTGCATTTGAAAAATGAGAAATTTAATTCATGTAAAAATAACAGGGGCTTCCCTGGTGGTGAAGTGGTTAAGAACCCACCTGCCAATGCAGGGGACATGGGTTCGAGCCCTGGTCCTGGAAGATCCCACATGCCGCGGAGCAACTAAGCCCATGCGTCACAACTACTGAGCCCATGTGCCACAACTACTGAAACCCGCATGCCTAGAGCCCATGCTCTTCAACAAGAGAAGCCACTGCAATGAGAAGCCCACGCACCACAACAAAGAGTAGCCACCACTCGCCACAACTAGAGAAAGCCCACATGCAGCAACGAAGACCCAACGCAGCCAAAAAAAAAAAGTAAATAAAATAAATTTTAAAATAAATAAATAAAAATAACAATAATGACAACCCAGTCACATTTTAAAAATGAAAAACTGCATTTTCTAAAACAAAAAACCAAAAGTTAAAGTGACGAATAGTGTTGTTTTACATTTTTGCAAATCTCTTTATTATCGAGCTCAACAGAAGATAGCTGGGTTCTCACAAATCTGCTTCTATAGTAAGGCAGATATAATGGAAAATGGCCAACAAAAACACAGTCCAAGTACTAGGAACAAACGGAGTGAACACAGAAATGAACGTACTTAGATCCTAAACCCACTTACTATCTTAGAAAATTCTGGAAAACGCAAGAATATAAAAGCACACATTCCTTTAGTGCTCTAATAGAGAACGTAGTAATGGCATCATCACACTTCATGCAGCCTCTCGTAAATGCCACTGTACATGTGCGAGAGGAAGTGTAAAAAAGGCAAAAACACCTTACTAGTTTGATGCAAATAGTCTGAACCTGACAGTCCCTCCGAGAGGGCCTCCAAAGACCACATGTGGAAACCACTAGCTTAGAGTAATGGATTCTGAGTCCAAACTGTGTCTAGGTGGTAAGCTCCTTCTTAAAAATCTCTCTCCCATCTCCCAAGATTACTGGATTATTTGAATTTTACTTTCTTTTTTGGCTTAAAATTCTAATTTATATTAAGAAGGTCTCCCTTAAAAACAAACTGGGGGCTTCCCTGGCAGTGCAGTGGTTAAGACTTCGCCTTACAATGCAGCGGGTGTGGGCCTGATCCCTGGTTGGGGAGCTGAAATCCCACATGTCTCACGGCCAAAAAACCAAAACATAAAAAACAAAAGCAATATTGTAACAAATTCAGTAAGACTTTAAAAAATAGTCCACATCAAAAACAAAAACAAAAAAACTGAAAACAACACTTCTGGCTCTCAGGAAAGAGGCCCATGATCACTTGAGATGACGCAGATTATTCTCCTTTTCATGCTTGGCTGGGATGGGCCACACCAAAAAGATGGATCCTTACTCTGATTCAGGAGACAGCTCCTTCTGGAGCCATTTGGGAGACAGCTCCTTCTGGAGGAGGCAGCATTTTAAGGGAAGAGCAGACTTAGCTGGTGAGATAAATACAGGTGCACCTGGGACAATGGTAAGTATCCATGAAGGATCAGTGGCAGGGGCCCAAGCCAATGAGAGAACGCCAGAGCAGCTGCACCCACACAGATTGCTTGTATAGGGTCAGCCTCTTCCCAGGAAGGCAAGAAGCAGTGAAGGCTGCCCTCAAAATTTTGCGGGTTGGTTCCAGATGTGACCGCAATAAAGCAAACATCGTGAGACACACGAATTGTTTGGTTTCCCAGTGCATATAAATGTTTACACTATACTGTAGTTTATTAAGTGTGCAATAGCATGATGTCTAAAAAAAGATGCACATACCTTAATCAAAAAATACTGTATTGCTAAAAAATGCAAACCATCGTCTGACAATGCAGGATTGCCACAAACCTTCAATTTGTACAAAACAGTATCTACGAAGCAAGATAAAGTGAACTGAAATATAACAAGGTCTGCGTGTACTGTGTTTCTTTATTCCAGTTGTGGCTCATGGCTCCCTACTCTCAGGTAATATTTTTGTACTAGATTTTAGAAGCACAAAAATTACTTCAAATAGGTTCTATAGAAAAGGCATCCTATGGCCCAAACAGCTGGCTTCAAAATAAACTTTAAGAATACACTGCTTTGGGGCTTCCCCGGTGGTGCAGTGGTTGAGAGTCCACCTGCCGATGCAGGGGACACGGGTTTGTGCCCCAGTCTGGGAGGATCCCACATGCCGTGGAGCGGCTGGGCCCGTGAACCATGGCCGCTGGGCCTGCGCGTCCGGAGCCTGTGCTCCGCAGCGGGAGAGGCCACAACAGCGAGAGGCCCACGTACCGCAAAAAAAAAAAAAAAAAAAGTTCCAAGTGGAAAGTAAACAATTTTCAACAACAAAAACAGAAAATCTTTCTTGACGATGGTGGGAAATTACATTTAGGGTCTGCCATAAAAAAATACTTAACTTCTACTAAGAGATCAAAGCACTCCTTTTCATGACTTGTTTCAAATTCCATATTATCTATAATTTAGAGTCACATTTTAGTACGTCTATTCTTAAGATGTACTTACATAAACAGGCACACTTTACTGTAGTTATAACTCATTTCTACAGATTTTCCATTATTAAAAAAAGAAAACCTAAAACTGAGGGTGTAGGGA